AAGAAATTACAAAATATAAAAATTACTACTACTACTACTGAATTACAAAATATAAAAAAAATCTTTGCGCCATTTTACCCCAGGCGATAATACTCACATGAACTTCGAGCATGGGAGTGATAAAATCTAATTATTCGATCCAGGAATCGTTCCAACATTCTGTGAAGAATTATTCAAGAAAATCGAAGAAAAGAAAGAAAAAGGAGGTCAATTCGAAGTGTTTGTCTCAATGTTTGAGATCTACTGTGAGAAGGTAATAGCCTATCTACAAACAATATGCTGTAGTTAATCCTTCATTTCAGATAAGAGATTTGCTTTCGGCGAAAGAACCTCCGAAGGGTGGACTGAAACTACGTGAACATCCAAAAACAGGATTTTACGGTAGGATTAATAAAAGATTTCAATAATTATCGACGCAGCAAAGCGAAAGCTGCATCCACACGCGACGGCTGTGCTCTAACTGTCTGCGTATCTTCTAACCGCGTAATCTCTTAGCAGATTCTGTTGGCTCTAACCATAAGAGGCAAATTGTGCATTGTCCGCGTTTTTGGCTCCATTATAACGAACACTGCGGCTTTGGTGTTGAATAAAGAAATATACCATAATAAAATACTGAAATGGCAAGTGACTGAGTCAGTAATCATGTATTTGTTTCAGTAGAAAATCTATCGAGTTCACCCGTAAATTCTTACAAAGAGATCGAAGCCAAAATGGAAGAAGGAACAAAAAATCGAACCATAGCTGCAACGAATATGAATGCAACAAGTAGCAGGTGATTCGCTCATTCAAAAGATAAAATGAGTCTCACGACTTTCCAGGTTCATTGAAAAGTAAATATATTCCAGGGCGCACACAATTGTAAAGCTGATATTTGTCCAAAAATCACCGAAAACGGGTGGTGGAACGACAACGAAGAAGTCGGAAATCAATTTGGTAGACTTGGCTGGCAGGTACTCAAAAAGGATTGCCTGAGTTTTTGCTACTTTATACTATCCACGATCATTCGGCTACAGAAAAATTGAAAGAAAACCTAATCATAAACGAGTAATTGTCATTGAGTAATTTTATTGAGTAATTATTGAACGGCGGAAGAATTTTGTTGCACCTTTCTTTTTGATTTCAAAATTTCATGAAGTCTCCGAAGACTCATGAACCAGAAAAGTGACGGAGAGATAGATAAATGAGTAGTTCACGCTGATTTTTTTCATCATGCTGTTCTTTTTTGTTTTCAGAATGAATGAAAAGTGGAGCAGAGTCGATTTTGCTGATGAGACTAATTTGCATACTGACTAATCAAACATCAGCAAAAAGCAGTATAATGAATAGAAAAATATGCATATAACAATCAAATCTATCCAACATTCTGCAGTGAACGCCAGAGAGATGCAGGAACTGAAGGAGATCGGATGAAAGAGGGAATAGTTATTAATCAGTCGCTGTCAACATTGGGAAGAGTGATCAAAGCTTTGCATGAACAACAAGGAAGCAAAGGAAAGAAAGTACAGGTAAAGTATTGCTTGGTCACTTTTCAATCAGCAGCAGAGCCCACATTCATTTTCTTCAGATTCCATATCGCGATTCGGTTCTCACATGCTTGCTGAAAAATGCACTTGGAGGAAATAGCAAGACAATAATGGTGAAATTCAGAATGTTTTCAAAATTTCAGGAAGACTTTTTGAAAAAACAATAGTCATCAAACTTTGCCACCACTGTTTTTAGGAAAATAACCTTTCTTCGTTCAGATAGCTGCAATATCACCCGCGGATATAAATTACGATGAAACTCTCTCGACACTCAGGTAAATTCTGCGTTCGGCTCTAGCAACTATGAAGTATTTCTATATGTCTATTCAAGGAGATTAAAGATGCTTGATTTGTTGGAAAAATCATAAATAGTTCTAGAAAATAAATTTTAATTCTCTCAGATCTGCAAAATTTTGTCTCATTCCCAGATTTGCTGATCGTGCCAAATCCAT